ACCTGTTGCGGCCCGCGGCGGGGGAGGCGGGGACAGGGCGGCCGGGCCGGCGGGGGCGGGGCCGCCACCGGGGACTCGGGGGAGGGCGCGAGGGGGGGAGGGGCTGGCCGGCCGGCGCCCGGGAGGAAGGAGACCGCCCCCCCCTTCCCCCGGCTGCGGCCGCACCGCACCGCCCGGGCACCGCGCTTAGCCACCGGCCGGGCCGAGCTGGGGGCCTCCTCCTTCCCCCCTCCCCGCGGGCGAGGCTGCGCGCTCTGCGGGACCCACGACCCAACGCCAAAGCCTCTGCCACCTGTAGTGTTGCCCAGCTGCTCCCAATCTTTTCCCTCCTTTCTCCTCGAAGCGGGGGAGGGGGGAACCAATCCCTTCTATGGCAGACTGAGTCTCCAGGTGCCTCTGGGTGCCCACAGCTGTGGCATGATATTGACCTACAGTCACTTGTGTACCCCTGACCGCAGGTTCCCAGGACCTGAGAAAGAACGCGAGGTACTCTGAGAGCACAAGCCTCACTCTTACATCTATACCTCGTTGGCCACCCACCGTGTGCCTGGTGCCAGGGACCCAGCGTGACCCAGACACTAACGACCTGGGACGTTCAAGGTGGGGGTAGGGGCGGGCATGAAGGCGATAAACGAAAGGACAAAGATCATCTTGAACAGTGTCCGGAGGGAATCGCCAGGGCTCTGGGGTAAGGGCTGGCTGTTGGAGAGGCCTTATTCTCTTGGGTGGTCGCGTAGGGCCTCTCTGGGAGGGGACATTTGGATGAACCTAACTGATCTGGGGAAAGAGTGTTCGGGCAGCAGGAACCAAAGGAATGAATCCTAAAGCAAGAAGGGGCTGGCTGTGTTGCCAAGGAAAAGAGGGCAGTGCATTCAGAGAGGTGGGCAGGTAACAAGTCACCTGGACACTTGTTATAAAGACAGATCCCAGGCCTCTCCGTGGAGCTTCCGATTCTGATTCCGTAAGTCTGGAGCAGAGGCTCAGGAGTGTGTGTTTTTCTATGTTTATTTATTTTTGAGAGAGACAGAGCGCAAGCAGGGGAGGGGCAGAGAGAGAGGGAGAGACACAGAATCTGAAGCAGGCTCCAGGCTCCCAACTATCATATCAGCACAGAGCCCAACGCAGGGCTCGAACTCACGAACCATGAGATCATGCCCGGAGCTGAAGTCAGATGCTTAACCGACTGAGCCACCCAGGCGCCCCAGGAATGTGTATTTTTAAATAAGCACCCAATGTGAATGTCGTGAACAGGTACATTTGGGGAACGCTACATAGGAATCCAGTCCCACCCCCACCCCACCCCCACCCCCATAAAACAGTTCCCGGGGTCTCGGACCAAGTTAGCTGATGTCAGAAAATAGACTCATGGGAGCAGAAAGGGAGAGTAGAACAGTGGTCTTCGACCCGTACAGCATGTTAGAATTACCCGGAACACTTGTTAAATGTGCCTAGGCTTCACTCCGGGCCCACGGAACCAGAACATCCAAAGTTTTTTGTTTGTTTGTCCGTTTGTTTTTCCCCAATGACCTCAGACGAATCTAAAGTGCATGCAGTGTTGAAAATCTCTGCATCAGAAGATTAGATGGGGGAGGTTCAAAGATTCCCAGAGAGCCACAACTTGACCTCACATGGGGAATGACTCAAATCCTTCCCCCTGTGCCAGAAAGAACTGAGAATGTGCATCCTTCACATTCTCACCGCTCTGCTCCATGAAGGCATTTGTGCAAAGCTAGCGATTGTCATTCATTCCACAACGATTCACTGAGCACCTGCCAGGTACCTGAGCTGCTACAGATCTCAGGGATGCAGCCATCAACAGGACGGCATCTCTACCCTCATCATGCGTGTATCCTGGAAGCAAAGAGACACAGCGATGAATAGGGGGTTCCAAATGGCACGGAGACCAGTGGTTCTTAACCCAAGCTGTGCATTAGAATCACCTGGAGAGCTGTTTAAAAATGCAATGGCTGGGCCCCACCGGAGACCAGTTATAATCAGAATGCTAGAACACAGGGCCTGGGCATCAGGGTTTTGTAAAAGCTCCCCCCAGATGCTTCCAGCGTGTGGTCAGGGATGAGTAGCACTGGTTTAGACTCTCATTTCAGGGACCCACGCTGGGCTCAGGACTTGCCAACTTCCAGGGTTCCAGAAACCAGAGTTTCTGGTTGTCAGAGCAGAAAATGATCCTGTTCACTGGTTCCTAACCGTAAGGACAGCCACACTGGATGTATCCCAACACACATCTTAGGGCATCTGATAAATGTAGATGGAGGAGGGGAGAGTGATGACCCAGACTGGGACACTTAGAGCCAAGTATCTAGAAGGAGGTGGGTGCTCTGGGGTCCTTAGGACAGGACCCTGAAGTGTGGTCAGGGATAAACAGAGGAACCAGCCTACCCTTAAATAGAAAAAAAATAAGGGCTGCTGTCACCCTCACGTGTCCTTTCTCATTCCCCATCCTCTAATCAGGTAGACATCTGTTGATTTTTCCTACTTGGAATCGTTCCCTGCTTCTGATAACAGCATCCCAGGGTGTTCCTTTGGGAAACTACTCTTGACACAATTTTGGCAAAACTTGTCCCATCCTCCTCTGGCAAAAAAAAAGTGGATGAATGACCCAGGCTTGACCAGAGAATTTTATCTCCTCTAGCCTATGAGACCTACTGAGGCAGGGGGCATGACTGCTTCATTCATACACGGCTTTATGTCCAGTGGATGTGTGGATGGATAGATGGACGAATGCAAGAGTGGGTGTTTGGATGGATGGATGCATGGATCCATGGATGGATGCATGGATGGGTGGATGGATGCATGGATGGGTAGATGG